AAGGACCTTTACACTTATTTTGTAGTTAAGAGATATGGATTTGTTCTCAATACCCATCTATATATAGTTCTTTTTTCTTTTTTTTTTGTTGTTGATTTATTTAGTTTTTTTCTCTTTTTTTTCTTAATTTGCATTATAATTTTTTTACAATCATTGTTTCTTTGAATTTATTGACATTTTTGCTTTTATTGTCAATTTGTATGTGAATTGTCACTAAATAAAGCATTAAAAAAAAAAAAAAAAATGAAGTGTCCAACGTTCCACACTTTATTTTTTCGGTTAAGTGCATCATCCGGGTATTTAAACTTTTTCTTTTCGGAATTTTCAGTGTGAACGCACTACTCACACTATTTATACTACAAAACGTCACAGAATAGTGCATAAGTACGCGATTTGGGACGCACCTATAAACAGAGAGAAGTCGCTCGCACGCAGTTCTGTTTATTAACCGCTAGAGCGCCAAAAGTGCAGCTTTAAGTAACAAAAATGTTTTTTGTTTTTTCAGCATTTCTCATCAACCTAAATAAACCAAAGCTGAAATAAAAATAAAACTAGAAACATTTAAAAAAATAAAATAAAAATGACAAAAACAAACTTTAAAATGGAAAATATATTTTTTTTTTTTTAAACTTAAAAACTGTAAATATTGTACAATTATACAAAAACACACTCTGCCATCTACAAAATCATATAACAATATTTTTTAATAAACTTAAATCAATCTAGACCTACTTGCCAATGTTTTGCAAAACGTGGCTGATGAATTTAACAAAAGTCAGGAAGAGTGAAAAGAAATGCAACAGCTATCATTGTGTGTGCATTACCATTTATTACAGTTCAAGGAGCTGGGTCCAAAAGAAGTTTGTAGCAAAGGAAGCAAATTCCTGTACAGATAAACCCTTTAAGTCACTGGAAAAACTCTTACATCCAACAACTGGGGTTAATAGTAATAACAAGTGATGACGAACCTTTAGGATCCAAAAAATGTTGGAGAACAGAACAAAAAACATGATGTACTGGCATTTTTATGACGATCATGTTACAACACAGCATCACATTCTTTGATTTGATCCTGGGTTTGAGCTCCGATTCAGATTTTAGTCCAATTTTAGTCACACCGTGTACATATGAGATTTCTATGCAAACCAACAAAATTCTAATACAGAGTCAATCACCATCTGATGCTCCACTGGCATGTGTCCATCAATTTACACCAACATCTATTGTATTTTCTACAAGACAGTCTAGAGCTTGTTAATTTGATTATTTAAAATGTATTGTATTCCTCCAACCATATAAAATAAACTGACTGAATGGTAAACTGCATGTCTACAGCCAATGTTTTGTCATTCTACTGAGTGTAAATGGAAAAAATGGAAATACTGGTGTTACTTAACATTCTTCACAAACATGAAATGGATCCCCTTCCTCAATGTTTTCCCTTACCATGAGAACCACTAAAATGCATCCGTGAGGACAACAAAAACACAATGGGAAGCAATTTCTTTATATATCCAAATTTGTTAACTTTGGGGTGGTAAAACTGTGTGCTCTTTCAGCTTGGTATGTATGTGCAGACATACAAATTCAAAATCAAAATGTTTCAAAAGTCTAAACTTTATTATGTTTCAATTTAGAACCATGAGCCTTTCAGACAGTGGCTCGATAAAGAGGATAAAGGGAGGAAAACAATTTGGGTACTGTCATCTTTTATTTCTCCTTCTCTCTCTTCAGTTCACTTCCAGCTTGGTGAAACATTTAAACTGCAGGGCAAGCTTGGCTCACTGAGAAAACTCAAACACGGCCACTCTGCTTCTCTCTCATCCAGGCCTGGATACGCGCCTTCAGCTCTGGGACTGTGGAGAGAGGGAAAAGTATGGAGTCAGCGTTACACAGTCTAACAATTATAAAAAAAAAAAATAAATTTAAAAAAAAGACAAGTCACAAAGTGCATTTGGCAGCAGCGCTGAAAGTAGCAGCTCGTGTAGTCTTTGTAAAGCTGTGTGTGGTGGGTACCTGGTTCCAGCATGCTCTCGGTGAGAGGCTGTCTGTTGAAGGGGTCAGTGGGAGAGTTCAGGAGGTGTCGCAGAATGATGGCTCGATCCATGATGTTGCCAGAAGGAAGTTGCACGGGATCAGTCATGAGAGTGTCCATCAGCGGGTCTGTTTGGATAGGATGTCAATGTTAATTGCTCCAATCAACTATTACATTTGTAGCTACACTTCAATTTTTTTTAAGAAATTAACACTTTTTACTTGCAAGGATGCATGTGATCATTGCCATCACATGAATAAGTTACATTTTAAAATATATTCAAATAAAAAACAGCTCATTTAAAATAGAATAATATTCCATAATATTACTGTTTTTACTTTCTTTTAATCAAATAAATGCAGCTTTGGTGAGCATAAGAGACTTCTTTCAAAAACAAAAAAACGTCTCAAACCCCAAACTTGAGCAGTAGTGTATGACTAAAAATATGATGTAAAACAACTTGATGACTCTCACCTTTAAACTCATCTGGGGCATCGTTGTAATCCATCTCAGACTGAGAATTGCGGGCTACTATCTCCTCTACCTTTTCCAACAGAAGTTTGAATTTCTCAATAGCAATGGTGGATTTTATGCCCGCTTTCCTCATTTTTGAAATGACCTCCTCAAACAGCTCCCTGCTGTATGACCGCTAAAAGTGAAAGAGAAAAAAAAAGTTATCCACATATTTTTCTTGCAATACAGTTAAGCACCAAACTACATTTGCTGTCTAGCCACCGAAGATCACGGTGAGCAGATACAGACCTGGTCATCTGCAATGGCTTTAGCAAACCGTGCACAGTCCAGCTGCAGATAAATGTCAGTGAGTTGATCCAGGAGCTTCTTTGGCTCAAAACCATATTTTTCTGGGTTTTCCACCTTCAAGTCTCGACATTTAGGCCCACATAGCTGCTGCAGGTTATAATTCAACATGGCAGCCAGACGAGGACCCAGTTCCTGTTCAATACAACAGAATATACATGAGTCATCATAAGACATTTTATAATTTTTGTGCATTTTCAACAGAACCTACAAATATAGTATTTGCTCTATTAGTGTCATTAAAAGTGCCCTTTCTCACATCTCCTCTGAATAAACTCAATGTTCTAACCCTGGCAGTAGCTCAATTTTCCCTGAAGACTATAAATACCTGCAGAGAGCAGAGCGCAGGAGATTCATTTACTGCAAGCAGCAGATTACAGTGCTCATGCTTTTTTCCTAATAACCAAAGCTGAATTAATTAGACTTTGTTACACTCTACCTCTTTTGTAGGTGCTTCCTAAAGTGGATCTGTTTGTTGTCTGTTGAAATGTTTTTTAAGTTATATTTCTACGACTGTCTGCTTATATAGCTTTATTAAACAGCTTCTACTCATATAACAACCTGTTAAGCTGTTCATACACTACCGCTCAAAAGCTTGGAGTCAGAAATGTGAAAGTGAAAAAAAAAAGAAAGAAAGAAAGAATTTGATACTTTTATTCAGCATTAAATAGATTTTGATTTCAATTAAATGCTGTTTTTTAAACTGTCCATTCATCAAAGAGTCCTGAAAGAAAAATGTATCACAGTTTTCCCCGAAAAATATAAAGCATTACTAATGTTTTCAGCATTGCTAATAACAAGAAATGTTTCATAACAGCATATCAGAATGATTTCTGAAGAATCATGTGACACTGAAGACTGGAGTAATGGCTGCTGAAAATGCCATTACATTAAAATAGAAAACAATATTACTGTTTTACTGCATTTTTGATCAAATAAATGCAGCCTTGGTGAGCATAAGAGACTTTTTTCAAAAAAAATCTTACCGTCCCCAAAATTTTGAATGTCATAATAATGTCATGGCGTGTTTTTACAGCATGCAGGAGTGTAACATGTTTCCATACTTACAGGCCTGAGGAAGGGCTTCTGGACCTGTTTGGTGAGGATATGGAACATATCCACTGTCTCTGTGGCTAAAGCCAGGTACGATCGTGATACTCTCTCATCCTGAGTCAGCTGGGACTGTCGGCTCTGCTGCTGCTCCTGAGGATCAAAACGTTTCACGTGAAATTAGACGTGACTGGAACTGAAAAACAAAAAGTGTCAATGCAAGTAGAAACACTGCTGTACAACCATTCCCTTTAAACCTTTAAAGTCTGTGTAAAGTAATATTACATATGTGTTCTGAGTTTGTCACACCACAGAAAAATGTGTTATTAAACACCCAGCCAAATTTGAATGATAAGAAAATAAGTTATTTATTTAAGTAAATAAAATAAGTTATCAAAATATTGAAAAAATAAGCAGTACTTTCTGCTCTCAAACGGTGGGGGCGTGTCTGCTGTCTGCATTGAAACCACACCCACTCGCGGGAAAGCTGCCACCTCTCTCAACTGTCATACAAATAATTTAAAATACGGAGACTGAGCTGTTTTGTAAATTACCGCATCCAGGTAATATGCATTTACGTGACGAAGGCATAGCAAGCTAGGAAACTGTAGGCTGAAAAATGTGTTATTAAACACCCAGCCAAATTTGAATGATAAGAAAAAACGCCAAGTAAATAAAATAAGTTATCAAAATATTGAAAAAATAAGCAGTACTTTCTGCTCTCAAACGGTGGGGGCGTGTCTGCTGTCTGCATTGAAACCACACCCACTCGCGGGAAAGCTGCCACCTCTCTCAACTGTCATACAAATAATTTAAAATACGGAGACTGAGCTGTTTTGTAAATTACCGCATCCAGGTAATATGCATTTACGTGACGAAGGCATAGCAAGCTAGGAAACTGTAGGCTGTAGTAACTAACGGTAATGACAGTAATGACGGTGTTGAACCACTGATGCTAATGCACTCTAGTTATTAGTTGTGTTCGACTTGAATCGGCGCTGCGCAGAACGATCAGTAGCTATATGTTTCCATCACCCAGTTTTTATGCGCATTTTGAAGTATCGCATCAGAAAAGAGTGATGAAAACTGACAATTTCGAAAAACAATCCCTTAATTGGCAAAATTGTTTTTACGCTCACTTGAGGTGGTTGTTGACTTGTGCGAAAAATTCCTCCATGCGCATCAAAAGTCATGTGACTTTGCGCTATGGGACGGCATAACCTGACTAAAACCAGCGGACCGATCTCGTTGCACAGCATCTGAAATGTTATGATAATTCTTAAATGCCCGTGCAAAGTCTTTTGTCAAAGTGTTTCTGTATAATTGCATCCCAGAACTTCCTAAACAGAAGGCATCCACCTCCGAAAGCAATGACTGCATTTATTGTGTTTCGTCTGCTCGCTCGAGGCGCAAGTAATTTATTATATATGAAAATTATTATATTCAGTGGCTTCTCTTACTTTTCTTAGTGATATTTAGTGGCAGACGATTTTGTTCTCTTTGACTCGTCCGATGGAAACGGTGATTATTTGCACATTTTATGCGATATTCCAATTTTGCGTACAAGTTAAATTCGCAACTTTGGATGGAAACCTGGCTAGTGTATGATATTAAAGTACCGCGAAAGCGATTCAAACACATAAGGAGCATCTGCTCTCTTATCGCGCTTGCGGTACTTTGATGCCATACACCGATTGGTCTGCGCTGCGCCGCTTCAAGCCGAACACACCTAGTGTTAGGGGAGGGGCCATGCTCCGTGGCTCCAGTGCATCATCAAGACATGATTTCAGGCCCGCCCAAAAAAATCCTGAACACAAAATTGGTGAAAAACTGTTTAACGGTCTAACTCCACATTACAGTACTACATAGTTCACAGTCTTTGTAATGTGTTTTCAGCAATACGTTTCTAACATTTATAATGTTTAGAAACAATTCTCTGAATTGCCTGTACACAGACTTTAAAAGTCACTCCCCTTCCTTTTAGCCTTAAAGCCAATGCTTTTCCCCTGGCACATTAGTGCATTATATCCATTACAATGCAGATAAAAGGGTAGGTAACTGAATTATTGGTAAAGTTGTGATATGTGCTGACCCTGGGCAGCTGGTCCCATTGCTCTTTATTCTTCATCTCCTCCTGCATCTCATGGATGCGTTTCAGAGACTCCAAACTCTCGTCCAGCAGAAAAGTTGTATCGTTAATTAGCATGTTGATGTAGCGTACAAACTGTTTACCAGAGCTGCAGAATGAATATGAGATAGAGGAAAAAGGTATGATTAATATACGTGTAAAATAAATATATAAACATTTAACAAAAATATTACACAATCAAATAAATGTAAAAAAAAAATTAGACTATAATAAAAAATGTAATTGTTATATTTATTTTAGATATTTATATACATTTTGTATTTTTCAAATTAGTGTTCAATCGTTATTGAGTCAATCGAGTTTTTCATTAGCTGTTATATTATGCTGATATATAACATGACTATTTAATTGAAATGTACACAAAATTGCTGAAATAAAATTAATACTTATTTTACACAATATTAACAAATCATTTTTTAAAATTGCAAACAAAAACAGTTTTTCATTCATTATCAAATTTCTGTCACTTAATCGGCCTGGGTGATACATCCTCAGTCTATAACTATTTCAAATTTCACTCAAAATGGTGAACTCACTTGAACTCCTCCAGGAAGGTGCCTTGGTGGTTAATGTTTTGCCATAGGCTTTTGAATATGGTGCTGATGTGGTAACGGATGGTGAACTTGTCATAGAACTCGCTTGTGGCTCCAGTGTGCTCCACATCTAAGAAAACACATCCATTTAGCATTAACAAATCAAAATGCATAGAACAGACTTTAAAAATTATATTTTAGAACCCTTTTCACCGGTGTAAAACTTCATGAGAGCTGGCACAAGCTGATTGATAGACAGTGGGTGGTTCTCCATCATCTCAAAGAATCGCTGAGTACGCGGCTGCACTGCAGGATTGGTGACAAACAGCACCTCCACCAGCTTGGCGATCAAGTATGGGTTCTTTATGTAATTCTGACTGCAAATGAAGACCACCAGAAAGTTCACAATGTCTTCAGTGCACGGCTCATAGAGAACCTGTGGAAAGTACCTGAGAAACAAACATTTTACTAAATTTGGATTCTAACAATATAAATGTGCAGATTTCAGCAATCTCATACACTTACTGCACAATAAAAAGCAAGAACTCGGCCACATCTTCAATGTAAAACTCTGGCAGTGCTGCAAAACTTTTGGGGATTTCTGGGTTCAGAGGCAGGGTTACGCTGTAAGGTTCGCAACTTTGGATGGAAACCTGGCTAGTGTATGATATTAAAGTACCGCGAAAGCGATTCAAACACATAAGGAGCATCTGCTCTCTTATCGCGCTTGCGGTACTTTGATGCCATACACCGATTGGTCTGCGCTGCGCCGCTTCAAGCCGAACACACCTAGTGTTAGGGGAGGGGCCATGCTCCGTGGCTCCAGTGCATCATCAAGACATGATTTCAGGCCCGCCCAAAAAAATCCTGAACACAAAATTGGTGAAAAACTGTTTAACGGTCTAACTCCACATTACAGTACTACATAGTTCACAGTCTTTGTAATGTGTTTTCAGCAATATTTTTCTAACATTTATAATGTTTAGAAACAATTCTCTGAATTGCCTTTACACAGACTTTAAAAGTCACTCCCCTTCCTTTTAGCCTTAAAGCCAATGCTTTTCCCCTGGCACATTAGTGCATTATATCCATTACAATGCAGATAAAAGGGTAGGTAACTGAATTATTGGTAAAGTTGTGATATGTGCTGACCCTGGGCAGCTGGTCCCATTGCTCTTTATTCTTCATCTCCTCCTGCATCTCATGGATGCGTTTCAGAGACTCCAAACTCTCGTCCAGCAGAAAAGTTGTATCGTTAATTAGCATGTTGATGTAGCGTACAAACTGTTTACCAGAGCTGCAGAATGAATATGAGATAGAGGAAAAAGGTATGATTAATATACGTGTAAAATAAATATATAAACATTTAACAAAAATATTACACAATCAAATAAATGTAAAAAAAAAATTAGACTATAATAAAAAATGTAATTGTTATATTTATTTTAGATATTTATATACATTTTGTATTTTTCAAATTAGTGTTCAATCGTTATTGAGTCAATCGAGTTTTTCATTAGCTGTTATATTATGCTGATATATAACATGACTATTTAATTGAAATGTACACAAAATTGCTGAAATAAAATTAATACTTATTTTACACAATATTAACAAATCATTTTTTAAAATTGCAAACAAAAACAGTTTTTCATTCATTATCAAATTTCTGTCACTTAATCGGCCTGGGTGATACATCCTCAGTCTATAACTATTTCAAATTTCACTCAAAATGGTGAACTCACTTGAACTCCTCCAGGAAGGTGCCTTGGTGGTTAATGTTTTGCCATAGGCTTTTGAATATGGTGCTGATGTGGTAACGGATGGTGAACTTGTCATAGAACTCGCTTGTGGCTCCAGTGTGCTCCACATCTAAGAAAACACATCCATTTAGCATTAACAAATCAAAATGCATAGAACAGACTTTAAAAATTATATTTTAGAACCCTTTTCACCGGTGTAAAACTTCATGAGAGCTGGCACAAGCTGATTGATAGACAGTGGGTGGTTCTCCATCATCTCAAAGAATCGCTGAGTACGCGGCTGCACTGCAGGATTGGTGACAAACAGCACCTCCACCAGCTTGGCGATCAAGTATGGGTTCTTTATGTAATTCTGACTGCAAATGAAGACCACCAGAAAGTTCACAATGTCTTCAGTGCACGGCTCATAGAGAACCTGTGGAAAGTACCTGAGAAACAAACATTTTACTAAATTTGGATTCTAACAATATAAATGTGCAGATTTCAGCAATCTCATACACTTACTGCACAATAAAAAGCAAGAACTCGGCCACATCTTCAATGTAAAACTCTGGCAGTGCTGCAAAACTTTTGGGGATTTCTGGGTTCAGAGGCAGGGTTACGCTGTAAGGTGATAAAAGACAGGAAATCAGAACAGAACAACGTCTTGACTACAATTTGGCTAAAAGAATGTAAGGGGCATCTGAAGAGATGTTAAGTGAACTGACCCTGGGTAGGCAGGTTCCACCATACGCAAGATGAGCTGGATGACCATACTGAAGAACTGCAGACATCTGCGCAGCAGGTTCTCATCCAGCAGCCCTGCGTCTGCGCAGGCTTTAGAGCGCACCAGTTTCTGTCAACACAGACATTTACTTACTATTTATTAAATAAATATATTCTAATATATATTCTATATATACACAAAGCATGTATTTATAACAGTAAATACAACAGTAAGAATAACAGAAGATTATAACAGTAAATGTTCATTACCATTCAAACGTTTGAGGTCAGAAAGATTTTTTAAATGTTTTTGAAAGAAGTCTCTTATGCTGACCAAGGCTGAATTTATTTGATCAAAAAATATAGTAAAAAACAAAACTTGAAATATTTTGAAATATAACCATTGTAATAATTTGATTTCTATTTCAATGTATTTTAAAATGTAATTTATTCATGTGATGGCAAAGATTAATTTTTAGCAGCCATTACTCCAACTGACATGATCCTTCAGAAATCATTCTTATATGCCGATTTGGTGCTCAAGGAACATTTATTATTATTATTATTATTATTATGTTGTTGTTGAAAAAAAGTTGTGCTGCATAATATTTTTGTGGAAACTATGATACATTTTCCCCAGGATTCTTTGATGAATAGAAAGTTCAAAGGAACACCATCTATTTGAAAAAGAGATGATCTTGTAAATGTCTTTACAATCACTTTTGATCAATTTACTGCAACCCTGCTGAAAAAAAATATTAATTTCTTTCAAAAGCAAATCTGACTGAGCCCAAACATTTGAACGAGTATAAGTAAATGCATTTTTCAGTACTTTAACGTGGCTAATAGAGCCTCTCTGTGCACAGGGCAAAGATCTGACTGATAATTAGGGATGCACCGATACCGATATCGGGCCCGATACTGCGCTCCTGTACTGGTACTCGTAAAAATGCCCTGATACCAAAAGCCGATACCAAACAGCGTGTGAATAGAGCTGTGTCCAGAAAAAGAAACACTGAAAACAGAACAACAGAGAGTAGAATGGAGTTATTAGAGATTAAGTATGTCTATGAAGTACATGTAAGTAATTAATATAATGTTAAACTTTCAATATCCACGCCTGTATAGCGGATGTGCACGAGCTGGTAAGCAGAGCGCGCTGAATGGATTGAGCGCGCGGCTGCACAGATGCGAGCTGATAAGCAGAGCGCGCTGAATGGATTGAGCGCGCGGCTGCACAGATGCGCGAGCTTGTCGAGTGAATATCTCACAGACATCACTGGAAAGTTTGTAGTTCGGTCGGATATGTTAAAAGCAAGTAAGTTAAACAATGCACAAGTTACTAAAGTTATCTGACGGTAAGGAGAGAGAGAGAGAGAGAGAGAGAGAGAGAGCGAGAGATTCCGAGAGCGCGCACTTCTGTTGCATGCGACAGCATGGGAGGATGGACAGATGATGTGCGTGTAGCGTTAAGAAGAAGCACTCTGTAGGGAACTTGGGCTCTGAGAACTTGGACGAGTCTTCATCTGTGGAGAAATGGGAGGAACGGGAAATGGGTTGTCCCGAGTCAAACTGAGCATCTAAAGCGATTTGTCTGTCTCAGAACAGAGCCCACACTCACGCAGCTCAGTGAGCCAGCTCTTCAGGTCCTCCATCGTGGCATTGAGCCGGGTCTCTTCCGTGCTGACATTCAGCCGACACTTAGGGTGGAAGATGTAGAGAGCATCCACTGTTTCCAGCTTGATCTTCATACTGAGTTGCTGCAGCACCCACAGGAAGTTCAGCATGAAGCCGTCTGTGGACACCAGCTTATCATCGGTCTAAAGAAGGAACGGAGGAAAAAATAATCGTAAGGTATTTTAACAGTATTTTTAATTTGCCAATTTTGTCCTGCCGGTTTACATTCACTAAGAAATTGTCAACTTTAATACCTCGATAAGATGGCATTTTAAAAGCAGCACATACTTGAGCAGACATACCTGCATTTGAGCCTTCTTCACATTACGATTCACCAGAGCTGCCATGTAGCTCAGAGCTGCTTCCCTTGTCTCTCCGTTCAACAAGATGTTGTGCAGGATTTTAAACAGATCTCCCTGGACAACCAACATCAGCACACTCAGAATTACAAAATATTTTTTTTCTTTAAAGAGGTCACTAAATCTCATTTCAGCATTCTATATATTTATTTTGGATGTTCATTTATGTCAATTTATAATAATTGGAATAATTTAGTATTTTTCATCAGAAACCGATCAGAACGATTTTTTAAAGATTTTTTACAGGAGTTTTTTATGCTCATCAAGGCTGCATTTATTTGATCAAAAATACAGGAAAAAATTTAATATTGTGAAATATTATTATGTCAAATAATGTTTTTCAATTTTAATGTATATTAAAATCTAATTTATTCCTGTGATGCAAAGCTGAATTTTCAGCATCATTACTCCAGTGTAAAGTGTCACATGATCCTTCAGAAATCATTCTAATATGCTGATTTATTATCAGTGCTGGAAACTGTTGTGCTGCTTAATATTTTTAATATTTTGGAACCTGTGATACTTTTTTTCAGGGTTCTTTGATGAATAAAAAGTTAAAAAGAAGAGCATTTATTTAAAATAGAAATCTTTTCTAACAATATACACTACAATTCAAAAGTTTGGGGTCAGTAAATTTTTATTCTTTCTTTTTTTTGAAAGAAATTAAAACTTTTATTCAGCAAGGATGTAATAAAACTAATTTAAAAATTCAAAACTATATTAACCTTGCTATACACACACACAGTGATATATATGTTTTTTTATCATTTGAAAATGCTGTGATTTATATTCCTAAGCAACTTATATAATGCAATTAACATCAAACACGCAGAATATGCACAAAGCTCACACATTTGGATTTTAGCTGAATGAGAGAGGTAGGTAAGCCCAAGTTTATCTGCATAAACATTTATTTTCAACAATTACACTCAATTTTGAGTGCAATTTTGACCCGGTGCAACTCATGCAACTCTTTTTCCAGAAAATACAGTATATATTATAATATATTTTGATTACAATATTCGGTAACACTTTACTTGAAGGGGTGTGCATAAGACTGACATGACACCTTCATAATCATGACATGACACATGTCATGAATATGAAGGAGGTTTTATGCATGTTTATGACAACTGTCATTAAGTGTCATTCGCTCAGTTATGTAATTTTTAGTCAGTCTTATGCACACCCCTTCAAGTAAAGTGTAACCCAATATTCTAAATTAATTCCAAATATTTCATTATAAATTCTGTGAAAATCTGATGACAACTGGGAAAAGGAGCTTCTTGTTCCATTAGGGAGGTCATGTTGCCCCATGCTAAATTCTTATCTAAAAGTTGCAACTTAACAATAAATGCACATTCTTAATCCTTCCCCAATCACATGAAATTATACTTTTATAATCATATAAGAAAGACCAAAAACTGAAGCAGACAGATAGCCTCCACTTGCACCCCTGCTCTATAAAAGAATATTCCCTCAATATTGGAGCAGCTCATTAAAAATCTATGAGTATGTGATATTATGGCCGCTCACCCTCGCGGACTCCAGATAATGCTGCAGTGACTGGCTGACCACACGGGTGTTCTCCATAGTGATGGCAGGGCCGGAGAAGAACTTGTCTCCCACTTTAGTCTACAGAATAGCAAAAAGGACATAAAAATAAAAAATTTTCCTCCCGTGATCATTTATCAATTGTAGCGTCTGGACCAATCAAACACACAATTTTTCATTTGATTTAACAAATCAGTTATTCATTAGATTAACAAATCGTCACAGTCCCCTCACCCAATAAACTGGATGCCAGGATGTCTGCAACGACACCTACACAATGCTTCACTTTGTATTAACCTTATTTGTTTAAAGAGTGAAATGACTTACGTCATCCTCAGCAAACACAGAAAGACTGAAGAATGCTCCGAGAAAGGAGAGGCTTTGAATTTCTCTTCCTGTCCCGGGACTGAGAGGGTCAGGACACCACAATGGCAGAGAGGTGATCTAAAAATACACGCAGACAGACAATATTAACAGTGAACTGCATAACCTGACAGACTTGAATTCGTAAGCTCCTACAAAACCTACCAAATTGCATACAGGGTGAGTCTTCCCAAACTTGATTTCACAAAGCTCAGCCAAAGCCTGGAAAACAATAAAATTTCAGTCACATACACAAAACAAAAGCCTACAAAGTCTTTCACTGATTCAGAGGAGCAATATGTGTGAAACATGTCTGGAAGATCAGAGATATCTAACAGTGTTCATATAGAAATCAAGGGAGCTTGTTTGGTCCTAACATGCCAATACGGTTTTATTATGCTTTTAAATAAACAGTCTCTTACCATCAGAGGGAACTTGAAGTTGTCACTGTCAAAAGAACATTCTTTTACAGCTAAAGTGAGCCCTTGAAGAATGGGAACGAAGATCTGAAAGAAAAACAATACTGATCAAGACAAAAGTTCCACATCTTTTCTATGAACTAACTTGACTTGGCCATTTTGGAAAGACTTTCAAACAGCTGACCCCAAGGTCATTTTTAGCATTACAATTTAACAATTTGAATAAAATAACTTGAATTTATTTTCAAAAATATTTTATTTCTGTGATGGCAAAGCTGAATTTTCAGCTTTTTTTATTCCAGTATTTAGTGTCAAATCATTCCAATAATATGGTGCTCATGCAACATTTCTTTTTATTACTAATTGTAGCCACTTGATATTTTGTGGAAACCGTGATTGTTTTTTCAAGACTCTGATGAATAGAAAATTCAAAAGAACATCATTTATTTGAAATAGAAATCTTGTCAAGTAATATTTTTTTGTATTAAAAATGTATTTACTGTCACTTTTGATCAATTTAATGTATTCTTTCTTGCTGAATAAAAGTATCAATTTCTTACTGACCCCAAACTTTTGCACAGTAGTGTATCTATATTTTATCATTCAAAAACTAAAACTTTATATTCCTGTGCAATTTTTGCTTATAAAGTGTGCTTGCGCCATCTTTCTTTAAATTGAATGCTGATATTTTAATTCCTTATGTGCAATGTCTAAAGTATCCAAACTGTAACCACAAAACCTAATGTGGGATAAATAATGTGGAATAAATAATGATTTTTAAATACTGAGCCATTCTTACTAAAAACAAACAAATGAACCATAAATATGTTTAATAAATGTTTAAAGGGGTCATGAACTATAATGTTATCAAGATGTTAACATAAAAAAACTTATACAAAATTTAGCAGTAACAGGCTATTTTCTGTCCTCTTTTGACCCCCCTCATCGGAACGCTCTGTTTGAATAGGTGTGGTAGTCGGATTGTAGACTCGGAAGTAAACGCCCACTGCTATGATTGGCTAACAGTTGTGTATGTTTGACAGCTACATCCTTCACAGATGGACGCTGCTGAGATTTAGGTAAAAAATGCATAAATACTCAGTTCATATCAAACGATCTGTAATAACAGACAAAGCAATAGTGACCAGGTAATAAGAACAGTTACTCACACTCATGTGGAGCGACATGACTGTCAGATCCAATATAGTCGCCACAGCATCTTTTAGTTTGAATCTTTCTGAAAATCCTGCGTTGAACTTTGTTTGCAAACGAATCCGCAGTAAAATGAAGTGAACAAAGGACCAAGTTCTTACTGATGCGGTCTGGATCTTCATTAAAAATAAAGTTCATCCACTCTTTCCTAATGTTGGGATCAGAAGGAAGGCAGTGCAAAGACTGTGTTTCCACAGCTTGGCACTGCACAGCGTCTTATTGTCTTTGGAGCATCTTTATCGTTTGGTTGCATGTAGACCTGCGTTTTCCTTCTCTTATTATTTACACAACATGTGCGAATCAGTGGGCCGAGCTAAACAGACAGTGATGTAGAAGCAGGTGTTGATCATCTTCTGCGGAGGTGGGGTTTACCCGCTCTATTACGTTATAAAGTGGCACATTCCACAAGCTCTCGTTTTGGCAGATTGGCTTCAATATAAGCTGTTTTTAGACTTACGAGAAAGTTTTGAGATCTGAAACTTACTGGATATTTTTATAGTGCAATGGCCCTTTTATTTGTCAAAAGATCAAGGGAATTTTGATTTCTCAGTTCATGACCCCTTTAATACCACTAGGAGTTTGGTATCAATAATAAAGAACTCTTGAGCTTCAAAAGTAAACTGACGCAGCATGCAGCCTGTCTCCGTAATCTGCTGCAACTCCCACCTGTTTAAACACATCCTCCTCCTGATGAGTCATGCGCACCAACTCCTGGATGAAGCCATACGGAAGGTTCCGGCACAGCATGTAGGGAACCAGTAGGGAGGGCTGTAGAGGGGTCCTAAGAGAGAGAGAAAGGGTGCGGCAATCTCATTCAAAATGTATTACACTCATGTGCATTCAAACTGACAAACCACATCATGCAACAAACTCAAACTAGGTCTGTTTTCACAATATTGGTATGAACTGGAGCTTGATTCTGCTCTCCTTCCCCGCAGGTCTCTTTTCACAGTCTTTGTCTGCATCGTCAACACGAGTACTAGCAGCAGTTGATGTATAATGCTGTAGCCAAGCAACGAATGTGGAGGAGAAAGCTTAACACATACAGAATGAAGCTGCTTCCTGAAGCCAATTTCTGCATAGACTGGCAGCTATTAGAAAAGCTTTACACTTTAAGAGACATTAACACGGTTCACTTGCACAAACGGTGTAGGATTGCAAAATGTAATGAAGCCCATGACACATTTTTTGAAAAAAGGTGAGCACTTGAGTTTGGACAGCAACAAACTGAATTCCAAAGGTCAGAGCTCTAATGTGAAAACGCCTTCAAAAAACCTTTAGAATGCGTTGAGAAAGGTTGCTGTAACTGACCTGGGCTGTGTGAGGGTACCTTGAAGCACTAGTGCAGCATGGGAAATGCACTGGGAACGAATGTTGCTAAGCAGCTGACTGACAGCTGGCTGGCTGCACATCTGAAAAAGAAAAGCATATGAATGTTGTGTCTGAACATAGACCAAACACCCTGAACTTGAAGCTCAAGGTCAACAACTAAAAGTAAAACGGCTGAATAATGAGAAATTTTTTTTTTTCTGTCATTATAATTATATTGTTTATATTTTTACATAACAGCAAAGAACAACACAACAGAAACACCACACAATTTGGCTTTGACATACAGCCTTATTTAAATGCATTGCAAAATAAAACAATAAAATAAAATAAAAATTTAAAAGAATAAAAAAAATTTAAATAAATTTTAAGTTAGTTTACTTCATTTTTACTTAATTATTTTAAGTAACTTATCTATTTCGGACAGACGGATAATAGTGTTGAAACAGTGTGAAACTGAAACAGGCACTTCGTGAAGCAACATGCTGCAGCAAACGCTTCTGGTAGCTTAATTGATTATAAAAGGAGCAAATTACTTTTGACGCTCATGTCTAGTGTAAACAGGGTGATAAATGAGCACAACATGAAAACTCATGCCAAAGATGGAATTACCCTTGGCTTGACAAGACATGTTTTGTCTTTCACTTTCACCTGCTCAACACCACCTCTGTTCTGACCTACTGACAAATCTGATGAACCGCTAAAGTAATGAGTTATTTTCTTGCATGGCTTGTCATACTGGAACATAATTATATTGCCTGAGTTCCGAATTAATACTGTGGAAACGTGTCCATAATGTTTATCAGCAGCTACCTTTGGGGCCTTCCTCTCTTCCATTCCCACACAGTCAAAACGCTCGATGAGGTAGTTGAGCATCTCCGTCTCTTTACAGGACTCTATGGTAAAGCGGTCACTACCTGAGTCACCAGCCATCCCCCCTCCGGATGCACCCAGGCTAGAGAGAGAGAAAGAGAGAGTTATGAGAGATAAAAACTCCCTTCAATAAAGGAGGTTGTAGAGTGTAGATGAACTTTCTGGGGAAAAACCTAAACTGAGTAAATAACCAAAACCACATAGCTTTAGCCACCAAGGAAATGTCTTTCATACATAAATGTTTCCCTTTTTCTCTAACCACCAAGCTATCAAAATAATTATCTTTAGAACAGCTATGTCATCAGATATAAATGAAGGTTTATCTCCATTTCAAGCAATGGTTAGAATAAACTTTGCCCCACAACACAAGCTGTGTTTAGTGATCAGTTGCCTTGATAAATCATTTCCCGCCAATTTTACATTACTGTTCAAAGGTTTGAGGTCAGTAAGAATATTTAAAGAAATTAATTATTTTATTCTGAAGGATCATGTGACACTAAAGACGGTGGTAATGGGGTAATTCAGCTTTGCCATCACAGGAATAAAATACATTTTAAAATATATCATCTTATTAACCCCAAACTTTCCAATGGTAGTTTGTGTGTACAAAAGTCTCCAAATGGACAATTTTTGCATTTTACATTTACTATAGAAATTTCAAAATTGTATTATATTTTCATGACTTTTTTTCTGGCTGTAGAAAAAAAAAAAAAAAAAAAAAAAGATATTTCCAGGTTTTCACATGATTGTAGATATGTACAATTGTGATGTGCTCAAAATAGAAAACATTTATTTTAAATTGTAACAATATTTAACAATATTACATTACAATATTCAATATATACAAATATCAATCCGAGCAGCTGAGTCCTTAACCATCTTCAAGAAACGACTAAAAACACATCTGTTCCACCTTTATTTGACCCTCTAACTCTAACACTTTCTATTCTATTTTAATTCTACTTTATC